AACAATTTCTTTATCCCACAGCAGTCAGGAATATTGATTGGCAGATTTTTCAATGTTCGGCCTTGAGCCGCCAGAACCTAATCATGAAGATATAGATCTGACTACAGCATCATCTCAAGTGAATACTTAATTACATCTGTAGCTTGTTCTTTTTCTAAAAAAATATAATTCAGCAACCCACAACATCCTGTGGGTAATAATTACATTTCTGTAGAAAATTTATCAAGTCCGCCAATGCATGCAGTCATACAAATGCAATATCGTTGTTCACTCCTCAAATGAGACATAAGCATATAATCATGGACATCAACAACCAAATACAATATCATGTTGGAAACTCTAAAGAAACCACTGGGTGTCCATGTTTAAACACAAGCATTTGCTCTTCAATGCAATACAAGAGGATTCTACTAAAACTGTTCCTGATGACATTTCGAAACCAGCTTGGAAACATCATAAAATTATTGATGATGTAGCACAAATTTGACTCTAGTCTTGTTCCTACAGATAGTCATGACTCTCTGGTAGTTCTAGACTCTAGTCTTGTTCGTACAGATAGTCACAACTCTCTGGTAGTTCTAGACTCTAGTCTTGTTTGTACAGATAGTCACGACTCTCTGGTAGTTCTAGACTCGAGTCTTGTTTGTACAGATAGTCACGACTCTCTGGTAGTTCTAGACTCGAGTCTTGTTTGTACAGATAGTCACGACTCTCTGGTAGTTCTAGACTCGAGTCTTGTTTGTACAGATAGTCACGACTCTCTGGTAGTTCTAGACTCGAGTCTTGTTTGTACAGATAGTCACGACTCTCTGGTAGTTCTAGACTCGAGTCTTGTTTGTACAGATAGTCACGACTCTCTGGTAGTTCTAGACTCGAGTCTTGTTTGTACAGATAGTCACGACTCTCTGGTAGTTCTAGACTCGAGTCTTGTTTGTACAGATAGTCACGACTCTCTGGTAGTTCTAGACTCGAGTCTTGTTCGTACAGATAGTCACGACTCTCTGGTAGTTCTAGACTCGAGTCTTGTTCGTACAGATAGTCACGACTCTCTGGTAGTTCTTGACTCGAGTCTTGTTCCTACAGAGAGTCATGACTCTCTGGTAGTTCGGAAATTTATGAAAGTTGAATTTGACAACAAGGGTATAGATGCTACTTACATCAGCATTATCCTATAGAAAAAGTTATGGAGGCCTGCATACCACTATACTTGATAAACGATTGTACCCCACTTATATCTTAGTTATTCTAAAGTCATTACTTCAAAGCTTTTGACCTCCAAGGAAATGTTACACTAGTTGAATGTAGATGTCCTTAGTTTAACTCCTCCTTCAGATTGTTCTCGCTCTACATCCCAATACAACTATTGTCCAACTGGACACGGAGCAACTTGCAATCCAGCTATTCTCCATAATGCACAGCTGCGAGAGGTGTTCATGAAGGGCTAAAGGTATCTAGAGACTCCTGGTATCAATTTGAATGTGCATTTTAAGATACTGATTGATTTTATGAAAGACTAAAAGACTAGTCAGTGGGCAAAACGAAGGCATGCAGAATTGGATTCATTTTCAGAGCGGGTTAGATACTTATACACGATCCCTCCTTCAATAAAGAACTAGTAGTTTTAAATTCAAAACGGAAAGAAAAAAAACATTTTTCTAGAACCGGATGTTCAACCCGATGTACAAACCACAGTCAACGAACTACATAAATATGTAGTCATTTCAGCAGAAAAAGCAGCTTATAACTATTATATTTCCTGCTTATAAAAAGAACTTGGCTTGCGTGATAGCAAGGGAAACCTTACCTAGATATTTTCCGAGTTTTAAAAAGATTATATACTTGCTAATCACGCTTCTTGATTTCAACTTTTCCTCATACCACTTAATGTATTGATTCTGAAACTTCAAAAAAATCCACAAATAATGTTTTTGTGAAAAACACGACATATCCAGGCGCATAACAACCTATGTAGCAAAAAAGCCCGGGGCTTACACATCATTTTTGACAAAACAAAGAAACAAAAAAAAGCAACATAGACTATATGATATACAATATTAAAAAGCAAAATATTTGTAAAATAATTGGGGAAAATTATTTTTTCTTGCTTTAAAAGGGCCATTGAAACAGACGCCAGAACACGGGAGAACGCGTCTCCGGCGTTCTAGAAAACAAAGTTCTCCTGTAGGAGACTCCTCATACCCCCACCAATGGGAAGGAGGAAGGGGGAAGACCCCCTCCCATACCCTCCCCCTCCTCGCGCTGCGGGACATTTGATCATTGGGCTTACACATTGACATTGAAAACCCGTTTGTTACGCCCCTGATATCCCAAAATGACATCACCGCGGACGAGATTATGAAACTGACTGAGTTCTCAGTTCAGTAGCAACATTAGACTGTAGGCATTCCTAAGGGAACAAACTCTGCTTTCATATGAGTCTGAATTTGTTGAAGAGCTTATCAGGACTGATAGCGAAGACCTTGCTTCGTATTTCAATTTCTCTTTGAGATATATCAATGATGTATGGTTTTTAAGCAAGAAATTCATTGATCACGTCGAACGTATATATATACCCTCCCGTACTCGAAACCAAAGACACTACCGACTTTTCTTTTTCAGCCTCTTTCTTTGATCTTTACTAAAGCTTGACGTACGCGTTTTCTATTTTCTCTCTTTTTAGAGTGACATCCCTGCTTCCACAATCTGCAGTGTCTCTAAAGTAAAACATTTATTTAAAAGAACTCAATGCGACCTAAAACTCAGTTCCCTTCCGACAAACATGTTTAAAACGAACCCAGAAAGCCTAAAAAATGTAACATTTGTATGTACTGTGTT